CATTGTGATCAGCCTCTTGCAAGTAACACCCAGCTGTTTGTCTCAATGTCACACAACTTCAGCTTGCTCTTCAGTGCATCTTTCAAATCTTCCACCAGCTCCTCCAGACTCTCATGTTGAAGCTCTTTGTAAATGACACCTATGTGTGTGTTTCATCCAGCGGAGTTGTGATTTCTGAGTTCTGAGGAAGGGTCACCAGACCTAAAACGTTAACTCTGAATTCTCTTCACAGATGCTGCCTGACCTGCTGAGCTTTTCCAGCAACTTCTGTTTTTGTTTCTGATTTACAGCATCCGTAGTTCTTTTGGTTTTTATTGGGATTGTTTCAACACTGCTTGATTTTCCTTTGAGGTAGCATGAGGAGCCAGGGCTGTGTAAGTTGGCAGGTTAAGGAAAAAAGTAAAACCTCACATACAGGTGGGTAGATGGGTTGCCCATAGGAAAAATAGGAGAGGGAGGCAGGTAATGCACGAGTCTCCTGTGGCTATCCCCATCTCAAACAAGTTGTACAGGGGAGACGGACTCTCAGGTGAATGCAGCATTGACAGCCAGGTTTCTGGTGCCACTCTAATGTAACGACGGGTACGTCGGGTTTCAAGCAATCGATTATGACAGAGAACTGTCTTGCCAGAGGCATACACAGACATTTCTACAGCCAACAACGAGACATCAGAATGTTGTGATCCATCCCTGGTGCCAGGGGCAAGGATGTCTTGGAAAGAGGGCAGAATATTCTCAAAGGGGAGAGGGGCCAGCAGGAGCAGTACACATTGGAACCAATGACATAGGAAGAGAAAAGGTTGAGGTCTTGAGGAGAGAATACAGGAAATTAGGCAGGAGTTTAAAAAGCAGATTCTCAAGGATAGTAATATCGAGATAAGTCCTGGTGCCATTTGCTAGTGAGAGTAGGAATAAGGTGATAGAGCAGATGAATGCATGGCTAAGAAACTGGTGCAGGGGAGAAGGATTTATATTTTTGGATTATTAGAATTTCTTCTGGGGTAGAAGTGGCCTGTTTAAGAAGGATGGGTTGCACGTGAATTGGAAGGGAGCTAATATACTGGCAGGGAGATTTGCTGGACCTATATGTGAGGACTGAGACTAATAAGGGGGAGAAAGGGAGGTTACTCAGAGAGATAGTGAGAAAAGAGATTGAGATCAGTCTGAGGCTACTGCAGTTGCGAAAAGGAGCAAGTCAAACAATCAAGGCAGGCAGGAGCAAAGCAGAAAATGAGGTAGGACTGATAAATTAATCTGCATTTATTTCAATGCAAGAGGCCTGACAGGTAAGGCAGATGAAGTCAGGTCATGGTTGAGAACATGGGACTGGGATACCATAGCTACTAGAGAGGTGTAGCTCAGGGATGGACAAGGCTGGCAGCTGAATGTTCCAGGTACAAAAGGAAGAACAGAAATAGAGGCAAGGAAGAAGGGGAAATGGCATTGTTGATTAGGGATAACATTACTGCTGTACTTAGGGAGGATATTCTGGGGAGTACATCCAGTAGAGTTATTTGGGTGGAACTGGGAAATAAGAAAGGGATGATCACGTTATTGGAATTGTACTATAGACCCCCCAAACACTTCCCATAGTTAGAGGAAATTAAGAAGCAAATTTGCAAGGAGATCTTAGTTATCCATAAGAATAATAGGGTGGTAATGGTAGGGGATTTTAACTTTCCAAACATAGACTGGGACTGCCCTGGTGTTAAGCACTTAGATGGAGAGGATTTTGTTCAGTGTGTATGAGAAAACTGTCTTATTCAGTATGTGCATGTACCAACTGGAGAAGGAGCAAAACTTGACCTTCTCTTGGGAAACAAGACCGGGCAAGTTACTGAGGGGTCGGTGGAAGAGCACTTTGGGGCCAGTGATCAAGATTCTACCCATTTTGAAATACTGATGGAAAAGGATAGACCTGGTCTAAAAGTTAAAATTCGAAATTAGTGGAAGTGCGATTTTGATGGTATTCAACAAGAACTTTGAGAAGTTGACTGGGGGTGGATATTCGCAGGTAAAGAGACAGTTCAAAAATGGGAAGCATTCAAAAATGAGATAACAAGAGCCCAGAGACAGTATGAAATAGTAAGAACTGCTGATGCTGGAGTCAGAGATACCACAGTGCAAAGCTGGAGGAGCACAGCAGGTCAGGCAGCATCAGAGGAGCAGGAAAGCTCCTGCTCCCCTGATGCTGTCTGGCCTGCTGTGTTCCTCCAGCTCTACACTGTGTTATCCCAGAGACAATATATTCCTGTTAGGGTGAAAGGTACGGGTATGTGTAGGGAATGCTGGATGACTAGAGAAATTGAGGTTCTGGTCAAGAAAAAGAAGGAAGCATACATCAGGTATGGACAGCAGAGGTCGAGTGAATCCCTAGAAGAGTATAATGGCGATAGGAGTATACTCAAGAGGGAAATGAGGAGGGCAAAAAGGGACAAGTGATGGCTTTGCCAAATAAGGTTGAGGAGAATCCAAAAGGATTCTACAAATACATTAAGGACAAAAGAGTAACTAGGGAGAGAATAGGGCTCCTTAAAGTCCAGCAAGGCGACCTATGTGTGGAACTGCAGGAAATGGGGGAGATACTAAGCAAGTGTTTTGCATCAGTTTTTACTGCAGAGAAGGTTATGGAAGCTGGAGAACTTGGGAGTGTAAGTGGCGATATCTTGAAAAGTGTCCATATTTGATTTGAGGAGGTACTGGCTGTCTTAGATTGCATAAAGGTGGATAAATGCCAGAGACCTGATCCGGTGTACCCTAGACGTCGTTGAATCCCGACAGTATGGAAACAGGCCATTCAGCCCAGCATGTCCACACCAACTCTCCAAAGAGCATCCCACCCAGGTTCACCCCCCTAACCTGTAACCCAGCATTTCCCATGGCTAATCCCCAAGCCTACATATCCCTGGACAATACAGACAATTTAGCCTGGCCAATCCACCTAACCTGCACATCTTTGGACTCTGGGAGGAAACCGGAGCATCCAGAGGAAACGCATGCAGACACAGGGAGAATGTGCAAACTCTACACAGAGTCTCCCAAAACTGGAATTGAACCAAGGTCCCTTGTGCTGTTATGCAGCAGTGCTAACCACTAAGCCACCATGCGACCCATAGAATTTTGTGGGACACTAGGTAAGTGATTGTTGGGCCCCTTACTGAGATATTTGCATCATCGTTGCCATGGACAATGTGTCAGAAGACTCGAGGTGGGCTAATGTGGATTCATTATTGAAGAAAGGTGGTAAGGAAAAATCAGGGAACTATGGACTGGTGAGCCTGTCATCGGTGATGGGCAAGTTGTTAGAGGGGATTCTGAGGGTCAGGATTTATGTGTATTTGTAAAGGCAAGGACTGATTGGGGATAGCCAACTTGGCTTTGTGCATGGGAAATCATGTCTCACTGACTTGATTGAGGTTTTTGACGCGGTGATGAAAAGGCTTGATGAAGGCAGAGCAGTGGACGTGGTTGATATGGACGTCAGTAAGGTGTTTGACAAGGTTCTGCTTGGTAAATTGGTTAACACGATTAGATCACATGGAATACAGGGAGAACTAATCATTTGGATACATAATTAGTTCCAAGGTAGGAAACAGAGTGGTGGGGAAATGTTGCTTTTCGGACTGGAGGCCTCTGACCAGCAGTGTGCCGCAAGGACTGGTGCTGGGTCCATTGCTTCTTGTCATTTATACAAATTCGTTGGATGTGAATATAGGACATTTGTAGATGACACCAAAATTGGAGTGTAGTGGTCAACCAAAACCATTACCTCGAAGACAACAGGACCTTGATCAGATAGGCTGATGGGCCGAGGATTGACAGATGGAGTTCAATTTAGATAAATGTGAGATGCTGCATATTGTCAAGACAAATCAGAACAGGATGTATGAACTTAATGTTAGGGAGTGTTGCCAAACAAAGAGATCTTGGAGTGCAGGTTCATAGTTCCTTGAACGTGGAGTCGCAGGTAGGATAGTGAAGAAGAGGCATTTGGTACACTTGCCTTGATTGGTCAATGCATTCAATATCGTTGTTGGGAGGTCATGTTGCAGCTGTACAAGACATTGGTTAGGCCACTTTTGGAATACTGCGGTCCCCCAGCTATAGAAAATATGTCATGAAACTTGAAAGGGCTCTGTAAAGCTTTACAAGGATGATGCCAGGGTTGGAGGCTTTGAGAGATTGGGTGAGACTGAATAGGCTGGGGCTATTTTCCCTGGAGCATCGGAGGCTGAGGGGTGACCTTATAGAGGTTTATAAAATCATGAGGAGCATGGATAGAGTGATTAGTCAAGGTTTTTCCCAAGGGTAGGGCAGCCTAAAACTAGCAGGCTTGGGTTTAAGGTGAGAGGGGAAAGATTTAAAAGAGACCTAAGGGGCAACTTTTTCACATAGAGGATGGTGCATGTATGGAAGGAGCTGCCAGAGGAAGTGGTGGAGGCTGGTACAGTTATGACATTTAAAAGGCATCTGGATGGGTATATGAACAGAAAATATTCAGAAGAACATGGACCAAATGCTGGCAAATAGGACGAGATTAATTTAGGATATCTGTTTGGCATGGATGAGTTGGGCCGAAGGGTCTGTTTCCATACTGTACATCTCTATGACTCTATAAAACACAAGCAAGTCTGATGATGGTTTCCCACCCGCGTGAGCAGTAAACTCACCGCGGGAGAGGGAATTAAATCCCACCTCCCCCTGCCAATGTTTCTGAAGCTGCACCCACTGCAGCGTTGGTGAGAAGGTAACGGAGGGGCTCATTGTCCAAAATCTTCACACTAACAGACAAAAGGCATATTCTGCAAAATTCACTACATTTGTAATGTCCCATTTTCATTTAAACATGAGAATGATGGTCGTACCTTTGACAATCAAAATACTCCATAACTTCCAAGATCCAAGAGGCTGTTAAAGATCCTGGAAAGATAACACTGGTACTTTAATGCATATCACATGATCGAAATGAGTTTCATTTTAACATTTTCTTGAACACTTAGAGAGGACGCTGCAGATTTCGGAGAAACAAAGTTGATACCAGAATCAAAAGATACAGACGTGTTCGAAGAAATGAAAGAGCTTTAGCAAGAGCAGCGCAAAGGGTGGGACCAATAGCTATTGCAATTAACGCAGGGCGAAAATCCTTCCAGCTTTATAATCGAGGTAAGAAACAGAAGCTATGGATAAATGTATCAAATGGGTTATCAACTATTCTTTATAAATATTAAAAATCATACATCCATGCACACTTCTTCACAATTATTTTATGAGTGCTCTTCAATGTTTACAATGGAAGTGACCATACACCTTCCCCTTGTTCATGTTTTCCTCTCCCCCATGCTACATGTTGTCCAGTGCCATCAGACCCCATGGAGTTAAAATGGGCACAGAATGAGAGAACCAATGGATCGTCTTTCTTATAGCATGTCATGCTTCAATTGATCTGAGATAAGTTGGAGAATGAGACTTTCAGACCCTCAGGTGATGTGCTTTGATATGGTAATGAGACCAAGAGCTTCTCTTTTAAAGGTATCCTGACATTGAGCATAAGCCATAAAACAGCATTCTGTGCTCTTGTCCTCTCCTTGTACAAACAATGTATCTCACCTCCCTGATTCTGTAGGCTTCTGGTTTGCGATCGGTAATTTGCTGATTTTCTGACACTGGAATTATTTAAGGAATGTAAAATGAAGAAGGCAGTAGACAGGTATTTCAGGGCAAAAGAATCTCTGCATTTATTAAATACAAAAAGGTAAGTATAATATAAGAAAAAGGCAAATGTAATAAAAACAGTGAAAGTAACACAATTATACAGAGGACAATAACTAAATACACTATCAAATTAAACACAGGTTAAACACTATTAGAAGCTAAACAACAATTTTACTTACGGACACTTTAATCAGGTCTCCCACCCTTGGGGTTCCCTGCACTGTGACCACCCACCTCCCCCTCCCTGCTAACTAGGTTGGAAACTTTGGGTGTCAGGAGTTTAAACTCACCATTGGGGAAAAACATGATTTTGAAGTACTGCTGGCCGTTCCCGCTTGCCATACCCAATGCCTCGATGAAGATTTTAGATGGTGTAGGCCTTCAGTCTGGGTTGAGTCCACTGATGCAGTAGAACGTGTTTTAGGATTTATCAGGTGAGTACTTGGTTTTTCTTACTTTATGGTGGTTTTTGCAGTCCAGTTTTCACCTCAGAAGTGCCTGTGGCCTTGTGGTGTCAGTCCAGCCGGTGGTTTTTGGAGGTTGTCAGTTGCGGTTGGTTTACCTGGTACGAACAGGCCTGTGTCAGTAGGTTTCGGAATTACAGTCAGGATTCCTTTTCTGGAGATGGTGGTGCAGATAGCTTTCAGGGTGGTTGCTATTTTCAGGTGAGATTGGGGCTTGCAATCATACTAATTGCATGCCTCTTATCTTTTTGTTAAATCTGTGCTTGCTTTGTGTTACTGGTGTTCCCTTTCAGGTGGTTGGCTTCCTGACAGTTAAGAGTTTGTGCAAATGTATTTTGATTAAAGTTGAAAGCCCACTATCTCTGTGAATGAATATTGATTTCAGTTGAAAATCTGGTATCTGCAGAGGCCCCATTCAGTCTGTGTTGGGTGGTGTTAGGTCTGCTTGATTGTTCTTTTAGAGTCGAGGTGTGAATTGGATTTTCAGGCTGAACAATGGCTCCAGGCAGCTGCCTCTGTAGAACATAGAACTGTACTGTCCACGATATTGTGCCAAACCTGACGCCAAATGAAACTAATCCTTTCTGCCTGCCTTTGGTCCATGTCCCTCCATTCCTTGCATATTCATGTGCTTATCTAAAAATCCCTTAAATGCCCTTATCATATCTGCCTCCAACACCACCCCTGGCAGTGCATTCCAGACTCCTATCTCTCTGTGTAAAAAGACTTGCCCGTCATGTCTCCTTTGCACTTTCCTCTTCTAACCTGAAATGCATGCCCCCTAGTATTAGACATTCCAAATCTGGGAAGAGGATTCTGACTGTCGACCCTGTCCATGTATCTCGTAATTTTATAGACTTCTATCAGATCTCCTCTCAGCCTCTGCCGCTCCAGAGAAAACAATAGGAGATTTTCTAGCCTCTCCTTATAACTCATACCCTCTAATCCAGGCAGCATCCTGGTAAACCTCTTCTGTACCCTCTCCAAAGTCTCCACATCCTTCCTGTAATGTGGCGAACTGAATGCAATGCTCGAAATGAGACCTAACCAAAGTCTTATAAAACTGCAACACATCACCATGATTCCTGTACTCAATTCTCCGACCAATGAAGGTAAGCATGCCTTATGCCTTCTTTACCACCCTATCTACTTGTGTGGCTGTCTTCAGGGAACAATGGAGTTAAACTCCAAGATCCTTCTCCACATCAGTGCTGTTCAGAGTCCTGCCATTAACTGTATACCTTTCCTTAACATTTGGTCTCCCAAAATGTAGCACCTCACTCTTACCCAGATTGAACTCCATCTGCCATTTCTCCACCCATATGAGCAACTGATCTATATCTCGCTGAATCCATTGACAACCTTCCACACTATTCACAACTCCACTGATCTTTGTATTGCCTGAAAACGTACTAACCCACCCATCTACATTTTCATCCAAGTCATTTATATACATCACAAACAGCAGAGATCCCATTACAGATCCCTGCGGAAAACTATAGTCACGGACTTCCAGCCTGAAAAACACCCTTCCACCACTACCCACTGTCTTCTATGGGCACGCCAATTCTGAATCCAAATCACTGTGAATCCCATGCATCTTAATCTTCTGGAAGAGCCTACCATGAGAGTCTTTGTCGAAAGCCTTACTAAAATTCATGTAAACAACATCCACTGCTCTACCCTCATCGATCACCTTCGTCACCTCCTTGAAAAATTCAATCAAGTTAGTAAGACATGACCTGCCCCACATAAAGCCATGCTGACTGTCCCTAATTAGGTTGTGCTCTACCAAATGAGCATAAATCCTATCCCTGAGGATTCACTCCAATAGCTTCCCAACCACCAATGTGAGACTCACCAGCCTGTAGTTTCCTGGATTATTCTTATTTCCCTTCTTGAACAGAGGAACATTAGCTACTTCTGGGACCTCTCCAGGGATTAGCGAGGAGACAAAGATCTTGGTGAAGGCCCCTGCAATCTCCTGTCTTGTCTCCCTCAATAACCTGGGGTAGATATCTTTGGGCTCTGGGGATTTATCCACCTCGGTGCTCTTCAAGAGATCCAATGTAACTTCTTTCTTGATCTCAAAATGAGCCAGCATTTTAGCTTACTCCACAGAATTCTTATTATCCTCCATATCCTTCTCCTGGGTGAATGCCAATTCAAAGTACACATTTAGGATCTCATCCGCATTCTCTGCCTCCAAGCACAAGTTCTCTCCTTTATCCTTGAGTGCTTCTACCTTCTCCCTAGTTATCCTCTTGTTTTTAATGTATCTATACAATGCCTTGGGATTCTCTTTAATTCTACTTGCCAAAGTCATTTCATGGCCCATTCTTATTCACCAGATCCTTCCTTGAGTACTTTCCTGCTTTCCTTATATTCCTCATGGGCCCAAGTAAATTCACAACCTCACTTGTTATCAAAGCGTCCCTTACCTTGTCATCCTTGTCCTTCCTTCCTTACTGGAACATGCTGGTCTCTCCCCAGCAGGTCTTTAAATAGTTCCCACATATCAAATGTGGACTTGCCAGGTAACAGCTCCTCCCAATTAACACTCCCTAGCACCTGCCCAATGGTGACATAATGTGCCCTCCTCCCAATTAAGTCCCTTCCCGCATGGTCCTTACTTATCCTTGTTCATAGCTATCATAAAACTTCAGGAATTGTGATCACTGTTTCCAAAATGCTCTCCCACTGAAAGGCCAGTGGGCTGACCAGGCTCATTAACCAAAACAAGGTCCAGTATGGCCCCTCCTCTAGTTGGGCTATTCACATACTGTGTCAAGGAACCCTCTCGGATGTACTTCACAACTTCTGCTCCAACCAAATCCCTTGCTCTCAGGGAGACCCAGTCAATATTGGTGAAGTTACTCGCCCAGTGTGGCAGCCCTGTTGTTATGGCATCTTTCCATAATCTGCCTACATCTTTATTCCTCAATGTCCCGGTGGCTGTTGGGGGGGCCTATAGCATAATCTTATCAGAGTGATTGCATTCCTCTTATTTTTGAGCTCTACTCGTATTGCCTCAGTGGATAAGCCCTCCAGCATGTCCTTTCTGAGTGCTGATGAAACATTCTCCCTCATTCATAATGCAACTCTTCCACCTCCTTTACCTTCCTCTCTATCTCATCCAAAACAATGAAACTGCAGACACTGAGCAGCCAGTCCTGTCCCTCTTTCAATCAAGTTTCTGTGATGGCCACAACATCATAGTCCCATGTACTGAATCAGGCTCTAAGCTCATCCGCCTTACCTATAATACTCTTTGAACTGAAATAAACACAATTCAGCCCATTAATACCATTATATTCATTTACCTGTCTCTGCCTGTCTTTTCTTTCTGATATAGTGATCTTAACATCTACCTTTCCCTCAATCCCCCCACTTGCTGACCTGCTGTTCTTCTCCCCAGCCCGTTGACACTCTAGTTTAAACTGTCTTGAGTAGCACTAGCAAACTGCCCTGTGAGGATATTGGTTCTGTTCCAGATTAGGAGCAACCCCTCCCTCTTGTACAGGTCACCCCTGCCCCAGAAGAGGTCCTAATGATCCAAGAACCTGAAATCCTGTCCCCTGCACTAGCTCCTTAACCATACATTCGTCTGCCCTATCTTTCCAATCCTTGCCTCACTAGCACGTGGCACTGGTAGTAACCCAGAGATTACGACCCTTGAGGTCCTACTCTTCAGCCTCTTTCCTAACTCCCTGCACTCACTCCGCAGAACCTCATCCCTTTTTCTACCTATGTTCTTGGTACCAATGTGCACCACAACTTCTGGCTGCTCATCCTTCCCCTTAATAATTTCATGCAACTGCTCGGAGACGTCCTTGACCATCCTGGAATCTTGGAAGTGGCCATAGAAATGCCTGTCTGTGCCCTTAACTAGCAAGTCTCCTACCACTTTGGTCACTTCAATCTTGCCCGATCCGGTGTCTGTGTATTTTTCCTGGAGCATAGCCCAGCTGCCTTTTAACTTTTAAAAGTTTTTGAAAAGTCCAGGATTTTGGTCTGGTATTTTAGTTGATAGGGATTTTCGCTCAATCCTGCAATACGGCAGTGGACATGAAGGCTGCTCCAATCTGGAAAGATCAGTTCCACAATCAGCTTCACAGTCACTAACCGTGCCATCCTTGGCCTACTCTAAGGTTGCAGGCCTGCTTCCGACAGATGGCAAAGTTCTGTGAGCAGGGTCTTTAGAAAGTGAAGATGACACACTCACTGTTCCTGGGTTAGGTGGAAGGTAGAGAAATTCTCCTGGAAATCCCTAGACCTCTTGCTGAGAGCCCCACTGACCCCCACCACCCTCCCACCACCAGCAGTTTCTCTTCCTTTCTCAATCTCTTCTCGTGCGGCAGCTCAAGAGGAATTGCAACAACTGTGGCCAACAGGGGGATAGTTACCTGCTCAGATCTTCTTCATGTGCAGGACCATTGTCTCTCGACTTCAGGAACTTTAACCAACACTTCAAATCTATTAAGCACTCCCACAACACAACACAGAGCCAGGAGAGATTAATCAGCAACAAACTGCTAAATGGATAGTGATCCCTTGAAATAGTGCAGTGTGGAGTTCCTTTGTAAACACAGCTCTGTGTGCACACGTGAGTGTGTGTGTGTGTGTGCGCGCGCGGTTAAGAGAATGTGTTCACTCACATGGCATCCAATTAGCATTCCACACTGACAGAGACCATGATTGGTTCCTGCTCCTGACTCCCAAGACCCTCCCCAAGATGTGACATGTTTTCGTCAAGTGGAAGGAGGGAGGGTGTGTATAGAAGAAAAGGAAAGGTCTGTGATGGGGCAGAAGAAAGAAGATTAAATGACAAAAGGGTTGACAGAGCAGGGGCAGTGGGATTGGACATGGGACATTTAAAGGACTAAAAGATGTTTTTCGAGGAGCTGTGAATAGCAGAGGGAGGGAGAAAAGTTGATAATGTGACAAAATGTGACAAAAAGAAAAGGAAACCAGGTTCTGTCAGAAAGATTGTTTACCAGAAGATATTGCAGAGGAAAGCATGACAGAGAGTGAATATCTGTAGGGAAAGGATAATAATTAAACACTTTACAGATTAAACGGGTTAAAGATAAGTGTTTCCTTACAGGAGGTTACTATGATCAAAGATGCGGTCAGCGTCTAAACCATGCAGTGCTGCTGGTGGGATTTGGAACAGAAAGGGGAAAGAATTATTGGCTTGTTAAAAACAGGTATGCACTTCATTTTTTATTCTTTATTCATTCACGGGTTGAGAGCATTGCTGGTTAGCATTTATTGTCCGTCCCTAATTGCCCAGAGGGTAGCTAAGAGTCAACCACATTGCTGTGGGTCTGGAGTCTTATGTAGGCCAGACCAGGTAAGGATGGCAGTTTCCTTCCCTAAAGGGCATTAGTGAACCAGATGGGTTTTTCCGAGAATTGACGATGGATTCACAGTCATCATTAGATTCTTAGTTCCAGATATTTATTGAATTCAAATTCCACCATCTTCCGTGGTGGGATTCGAACCCACGTCCCCAGAATGTTATCCGGGTCTCTGGATTAACAGTCTAGTGATACACTTTTTGATTGGAAGAATAGAGTCATAGACTATTTTCTAAATGAACAAAGGTTTCAGAATTCTGAAGCACAAAGGGACTTGGGAGTCCTAGTTCAAGATTACCTTAAGGTTAACCTTCATCTTCAGTTGGTGTCTCGGAAGGCAAATGCAATATTGGCATTCATTTAAAGAGGGTTAGAACGCAAGAGTAGTGATATAGTGCTGAAGATGTACAAGGCTCTGGTCAGACCACATTTGAAATAGTGTGAGCAGTTTTGGGCCCCATATCTAACGAAAGATATGCCAGTGTTGGAGGGGTTTCAAATGAAGTTTGCATGAGTGATCCCAGGGATGAAGGGCTTGCCATATAAGAAACGATTGAAGAGTCTGGGTCTGCACAATGATAGAGTTTAGAAGAATGAGAGGAGATCTCACTGAAACTTACAGGATACTGTGAGGTCTGGATAGAATGGATATGGAAAAGATGTTTCCCCTAGGAGGAGAGACGAAAAGCCAGGAACAGAGCCTCAGAGTGAAGGGACAACACTTTAGAAATGAAATGAGGACGAATTTCTTCAGGAAGAGGGTGGTGAATCTGTGGAATTCATTGCTGCGGAAGCGGTGAAGGCCAAATCACTGAGTGTATTTAAGACTGAGGTAGGTAGGTTCTTGATTCATAAGGGGATCAAGGGTTACAGGGAGAAGGCAGGAGAATGGATTGAGAAACATTTCAGCCATGATCAAACAGTGGCCAGACTTGATGGGCTGAATAACCTTATTCTGCAGCACTCAAGATGTTAAAAATTAGTGATCATTTCAGATAGTCATTAATAAATCCAATCAAAAGCTCAGGAGGAACCTCCTTACTTAGAGGAGGGTGGTATTGGAGAAACTGTTACAACAAGGAGTGGGTGAGCTGAATAATACTGATACATTAAAGAGGAAGATGGATAAACACATGAGGGTGAAGGAACAGAAGAGATGTTGACAGGGTTACAGGAACGGAGCTGGGATGAGGCTCCCACAGACATTTAACAATGACACAGAGTGAATTTCCTGTCTCTGTGCTGCAACCTGTGTATCTGTTTAACCAACATGAAACACTGTTTATCTCGATGCGAAGGATTAATGGCAGAGCTGTCTCCGATGATATCAGGGTTGGAGGGGATGGTAACAGGATTGGGTGAGGTAGGCTTCCTCAGCATTGGATTGGTTGGTAGATTGTTTGAATAAGGAAGTGCTGCTCACTGAGTAGAACCCACTCCCAGCTCGACTGTCTCCGAGTCAGAAGCTCAACATTCAAGTCCTGCCCCGTTACCTATTGACATTAAAAGGAATGTTCATGACACAATCAAACAGGGTGATAATCCTCTTGACAATCTTTACACATGCCCCCACTATTCCTCAAATTATAAATGTGTGTCAACAAGAATGGGCAGACATTGGGAAACCTACACCCACCGTCAACTCACCATTCACTTACAGGGTCTCCCCTAAGCCCCACATTGAAGTTTGCAGTGAATCCACACTCACTGTGCAGACCAGCGCTTTCAGTCTGATGTCGCAAGGAAGTGCTTCCAAGCACTGAATCTCACTTCATATTTCACAACCTTTACTGCAATACTCTAGTTGTATTCAGCTATCTGGTTCAAATAACTCACATATTGAACAGAATCTAATCCACCTCAATCATTTCAACATATCCCAGAGTAAAAAAAAGGTCAGTTCTCCAAACCTGTCTCCATAACAGAAGTTTGATTTCAACACATCATTTTCTTTTCTTATTTTCAGCTGGGGAAGAACATGGGGTAAACAAGGTTATATCAACATGGCTAAGGATCGAAGGAATAACTGTGGAATTGCCAATTATGCAGTTTACCCAATTGTGTGAGGAGGCAGGTGTTAAGCCAGAGCTTCATTGAACTCCACTTGAAAGAATGATGGAAACATTTCTGCTGATGCTGACTCCTTCAACAGTATTGCTTTAACTGTCTGCTGCAGTTCAGAAAGTTAAATAATAACAGCTTCTGCATGTTTCTATAGCTTCACATAAAGGTCACTGTCAGCGTGTGTTTGATACATGTAACCACAGTAATATCTGAGTGACTACATTCTCCAGCTTGTGGACAGACAATGACCTGAATGTACTGTTGATGTCGAGCAATATAATAAACGTTGCCAGCAATCACTTTGACAGTCTGTTTATTCAAAGGAACAATTTCATAATGCTTTTCCACGAATGGGAAACAGGTACAATGGGCCACCCTGCTTCATTCTGCACTGCAATGATTTTGTGATTGTGTGAATTGTTTAATTTAATTTGGAATGATGTTCTTAAAATGATGTGTACAAATAGAAAGAATGTTACAAAATTGGCCATTTTATGACAAAAGTATGATTACTTGCTACCACTGAGGTATTTAAAGTTTAATTTAATAGTACTCACCCCGAAACTCTCCTTAAGAAATAACAGAATTAAAGGCACTGTGACTGTGTGTAGGTAGTATTCACAAAAATGATTAATTACTTAAATGTACAATTGAGGTAAATAGCTCCGATTTCATTGCTATTACAGAGACATGACTACAAGGTGACCAAGGTTAGCCACTGAAGATCCATTCCAGTTACAAATATACAGAAAATGCCATAATCTTACACAGGTCACAACTCAGTGAAATTAAAGATGGTCCCATTCATGATTCAAGTGTATTCTCCCAGAGATTTTATGACTCTTATAACGGGAGTGTACCTCACCATCGAAGTAAGTCATTGATGAAAAAAGGGTACAGTTCATAAACATCCCAGATTCAAAATTGTGTTGTGTAAGGAATAGAGGTTTTGGAAAAATTTGAGAATAATCAGAAGTGCTCCAGAGTTTTGTGCCATGCAAATGTTGCAGCTTGTTTTCCAAAATATAAAGATAAGCCTGAAATCTTGACAGCAATCTATGCTGAAGTTCAACGCTTCTGTTCCGAGAGTCCTGCACATATGAAAAACTTTGAGGATAAACATCTTTCAATAATTACCATTTTGAAACTTTTGGAATATTTAGGTAAAGTTGAGGAAAAGATATATCAAAACAATGGACTTAAGTAATTCAGATTGATGGGAAACCTCTCTGGCTGTGTTTGCAGGTTTCTTTGATGGGGTCTCTGGTGAGCAACATATCATTGTAGGTAGATGGGTGTCATAGACTCCAAATGGCCACACTTTACAACAGGACAATATAGGTACATACAGTACAATCCCTCAATGTAAGTTAAAGTTCCCAATTCATACTGGGAAGATCAACATTTCTGGAAGGTAAAGGAGGAGATATGGCTGCACAGTTTCATAATAAGTTGCTGCCTTTCAGTATCAGTGCAATCAGGTGATAAACCAGGCATTGACTTTCCAATTGGTGAGGACAAACACTGCCTGGAACATTACTTCAGTTTCCCTCCCTGGGAATCACAGTTTCCCACTCACCGCAAGCAAATCTCAGAAAGGTGAGCTGGATCGGGGCCCCTGATGGATTTCCATCCCTCCATCCACTTTAACCATTATAAGAGTCCTGTCTTTGTGTCTGCGCTAAACGGAGAGGTGCTATAGCAGTATTGTTAGTCTGGTATCTCCGGCTGTGGGTGACAAGCACAAAAAGACCAAGACAAGGTGATACAACGCAGGGATGTTGTGAGTAGTCTCAAAGTGAATCAGCACTACGACAGCAAGCGAAAGACCAGAGATGCAGCCTAGTCCAGCCCATGAATGATTTGTCCTTTCTGCAGCATAACAATGATAGTTACCTATGCAGCCAAAGGCACAACATTGAAGCATAAAAGCATCCTGGAAGTAGATGGAAGGTATGCCACAAACACTCTTAATGGCTGAATCACGCTGGACAACAATGACTATGGACGTCAGGTGCATCTGGCTGATGCCCATGGAGTGCTCTGAAATTTGGTGTCTGGTGTTCAATATGGATTTCTTTCTGAACAAGTGGTGAGTTCGTGTTGACATGTACCCACTCTATCTTCCATGTTGAGAACTGTTGATGTCTGGTTTGTGTGTGGTGGCTCATAAGATAGAAAACTGTGTGGTCTTCATTTTTAAACAACAAACTGCTAGAGACTGAGTATGGGTTTTTACAATTATTTATTCAAGAGATGCAAGGAGAGATCTCCCTCCGTTCTTGGAATGGTGAAGAGTCACCTGACTCGAAACTTAATTCTGCTTTTTTTCCCACAGATTCAGCCAAACCTGTTGAGTTTCACCTGTAATTTCTGTTTTGTTTCAGATGTCCAGCATCCACTGATCTTTATGTTTCCCTATGGGTGTTTGTACCTTAGAGAACGTATATCAGCTACACGTCATGGCCATTTTTTTTGGAAAAGGATAGCCATTTCTCATGTGCCATCAAGTTTTTAGTGTATTTTTACAGCCACATCAGCCAAGTTGCAGCTCATAATTTTGGAAATCCCTTTCTTCAGATCTAAAATCCTCACTTCAGAATGAACTATGACGACGTCAAACTTAACGTGAAATTTTATCATATTATGGTCACCATTTCCCAAAGACTCCTTTACAGCAATTTTAACAATTAGCCATTTCTCATTACACAACCTCAAATCCAAAATATCCCAATCTCCAGTTGTTGCTTCAAAATTCTGCTCTAAGAGGCCATCTCATTCACACTCTAGGTGTTCATCCTCCGCAACATTAGTACCTGATTTGATTAATTCAGTTTATTTGCAAATTGAAGTCACCCAATACCACAGTATTTCCAATTTATCTGTAACTTCAATCTCCTGATTTATGTTGTGCCCAGTTGTACAGGACATTCAAACCAACTCATACCAGAGTGTGCTCCCATCTCTGGGGTCTACTGCCCGCACATGTACTTCAGAGTTCAAGAAGGCAACTCACCGCCATCTTCTCAAGGCCAACAGGAGATGACCATTAAATGCTGGCCCAGCCAGCAACACCCACATCCCATAAATGAATGAAGCAAAAAGTCTACATTTGTGCACTTTATTTTAGGGCATTTGTCATTTTAGACATTGTAGGCTGAAGGGTGGCCTTCTAGAGATTTATAAAATCATGAGGGGCCTGGATACAGTGAATAGCCAAGGCCTTTTCCACAGGGTAGGGGAGTCCAAAACTGGAGGGCATATGTTTAAGGTGAGAAAGGAAAGAGCAAAAGGATCTAAGGGGCAACTTTTTCACAGAGAGGGTTGTGCATGTATGGAATGAGCTGCCAGAGGAAGTGCTGGAGACTGGTACAATTACAACATTTAAAAGACATCTGGATTGGTATATGAATAGGAAGGGTTTAGAGGGATATTGGACAAAGAAAAGCTGGCAAATGGGACTAGATTAATTTCGGATATCTGGTCAGCATGGATGAGTTTCACCAAAGGGTCTGTTTCCATGATGTATAACTCTATGACTCAAAGATAATTCATGTGAGAGAAAAAAAATGACAAGTGTTTTTGTGGAATAATCAGACTCTCAAAGTGATTTCTGGCAGCGTTTATTATATTGCTTGACGTTAGTGGCACATGCAGGTCATTGTCTCTCCACAAGCTGGAGAATGTAGTTTTTTTTATTTATTCATTTTTGTTTTGTGGGATGTAGGCATCACTGGCTGGCCAGCATTTATTGCCTGTCCCTCGTTGCCCTTGAGAAGATGGTGGTGAGCTGCCTCTTAAACCACTGCAGTCCATCTTATGTGGTTTGACCCACAATGCCATTAGGGAGGGAATTCCAGGATTTTTACCCAGCGACCGTGAAGTAACGGAGATATATTTTTCCAGGTGAGGATAGTGAGTGGCTTGGAGGGGAATTTGAGGATGGTGGTGTTCCCATACTTCTGTTGCCCTTGTCCTTCTAGATAGAAATGGTTGTGGATTTGGAAGGTGCTGTCTGAGGATCTTTGGTGAATTTCTGCAGTGCATCTTGTAGATAGTACACACTGCAGCTACTGAGCATCAGTGGTGGAGGGAGTGGATGCTTGGAAATGTAGTGCCAGTCAAGCCGGCTGCTTTGTCCTGGATGGTGTCAAGCTTCTTGAGTGTCGTTGGAACTGCACTCGTCCAGGCAAGTGGGGAGTATTCCATCACACTCCTGACAAGTGTCTTGTAGACAATGGACTGGCTTTCGGGAGTCAGGAGGTGAATTACGCGCCACAATATGCTTAGCCTCTGACCTGCTCTTGTCGTCACTGTGTTTATGTGGTGAGTCCAGTTGCATTTCTGATCAATGATAACTCCCAGGATGTTAATAGTGAGGGATTCAGTGATGATAACACCATTGAACGTCAAGGGGCAATGGTTAGATAGTTTCCAATTGGTGATGGTCATAACCTGGCATTTGTATGGCACTGTGTAGTTGCTCAGATATTACTGTGGTTACATGTATCAAACACACAACGACAGTGACCTTTATGTGAAGCTATAGAAACATGCAGAAGCTTGTTATTATTCAACTTTCCGAATTGCAGCAGACAGTTAAAACAACGCTGTTGAAGGAGTCAGCATCAACAGAAATATTTCCGCCATTCTTTCAAGATGAGTTCAATAAAGCTCTGGTTTAACACCTGCCTCCTTAAACAATTACTTAAACTGTGTAACTGGCAATTCCACAGTTATTCCACTGATCCTTACATATTTTGACATAACCTTGTTCACTCCATGTTCTTCCCCAACTGAAATAAGAAAATTATGTTGAAATCATTTTGCCATCAAGACAGGTTTGGAGAACTGGCTCTTTTTACTCTGGGATTTGCTGAGATGATTTGAGGGATTAAATTTGGTCCAATACTTGGGTTATTTGAGCCAGATAAATGAATCAAACTGAACAAAACCAAGACTAGTTGTGAAATATGAAGTGAGATTCGGTGCCTCGAAGCACTTCAGTTTGACATTGGACTGAATTTGCTGGTCTGTACAGTGAGAGTGGATTCACTCTTAGTTTTTAATACACTCAGAAGTGGAAACATTTTATCTAACCATTTTGTGACAAGGTCTTCCAGGATCTTGCTGCCTCTATCAAGTTGTCCCTGAACATTAATTTTCCTTAAGAAAAGATCTCCAGTCTGTGCGGCTTTTCGTCATAAACATTTCTCATCCATTCTAACGTCATCCTTATGAATCTACTATACACCTCCTCCAGTACTTGCAGACAGTATCCCCATCCCATCCCGACAAC